TTGGGTAGAAGGCAACATCCAGGGAGGGACTTGCCTGTGGGCCAACACCTCACACTCCCAACACCGGCCAGTACTCCTGGCTCCTGAGGCAGCCAGCACAGTGATCCCAAGGGGCAGATCTGAACTGCACATTGCAACATCCACTACATTATTAGTAATCAATAATTCCTGAATGCCGACTGCACTTCAGACAGGTCATTGATGATTCCCTGCTGTTTTTCTTCATCACTGAAATACGACCAGTAAAAATGGAACAAAGCACACAGAGACATGGCTTCTGCATTTATCCAGTTACAACTCCAAGTAGTTTGTTAAAGACAAAGACTCAGTCTCTTCCTCCTTTTTCCCAATTCTCCACCCATAAGGCCAACGACTTTATGCCTCTCCCTTATGGCTTTATTGGAATAGTCCTGGGACCCTCTGACCCTGACCAACAGAGCAGATCTTGTATTACAGAATTATTCCCAGGGACTTTGAGTTAAGCAAAGGCCAGTGTAGATCGAGATGCTATCTTACCATGGATGCTCTTTCCAAGATTACCTAATTTCTACAAGCTATGTCCAACACATTTTCCATCGGTTTTAGGATAAGTAATTCTTGGCTTTGGCAACGGAAGTGGGAAGACATAAAATAGAGAAAAAAAATAGAAATCGAGAAAAAAACACAAGAGATTGGTTTTGTGTGAAATCAGCTCAGATGGAGAAGGGGTGAGGTGAGAAGAGAGCATAAGGTGTGGCTTCACACAAGCCCTTGTGGGAATGCATTTGGGATCATGTGGCTAATCAGTGAGTCAGGACGACAGTAGAGGGCAATGGGGACCCTCAGAAACCAGTGTGTAAAGAACAGTGGTAGCATAGACATTGCCTTTCTCTCCCCTAACTGTGGGGAAGGCGCATCTGAGCGCTGGCCTCCATTCCCATCCACTCTTCCAGGTTCTTGATGGAACAGGAGCTGTCTTTCCCTGTCCCCAAGGATGCGCAGCACTTTATTAACATGGACAGTGTCTCAGAGAGGATGTCAAGGGCCGTGGAAAAGCAGATACCTTCATGTTGATGGCAAATTGCATTAGAAGAAACCTACATGGATGCTCATATGCCCGGAGCTCAGTCCACACCCCATCTTCCTGTCCGAAGGACCTACTAGAAAAGTTAGCGGGCACGACTTGGCCTCATGGCCCACGCATTCTCAGGCCAGGAGAGAGGTGTGCAAGAGTAAAACACGAAAAGGAACCAAGGCTTTCTTTGTTGGGCAACTGGGTTTCATGTTAGCACTAAGTCTGATGAAGCTGTTAGCAAACACTGAGAAGGATCCGGGATTTAGTGGGAAAGTTGAACACTTACTAGTTTCCTGTATTAGTGATCTACCATTACCTAACAAGCCACCCCAACACATAGGGCTTAAAAAAAAGCCATGTTATTTGCTCACAATTCTGTGGGTCAGCAATCTGGGCTGGTCTCAGCTGAGCGGTTCCTCTGCTGGGTTCACCTGGGTCACTTGTATGGCGGCTGTCCTCGAGTGATGTGACTGGCCTGGGTTTGTTTTTTTTTTTAGGTTTATTTATTTTGAGAGAGAGAGAGAGCACGAGTGAGTTAGGGGCAGATAGAGAGGGAGAGAGAATTCTAAGCTGGCTCTGTGCTGTCTCCGTGCAGATCCCAATGCAGGGCTCAAACTCACAAACTGCGAGATCATGACCGGAGTGGAGATTAAGAGTCTGATGCCTAACTGACTGAGCCAACCAGGCGCCCCATGAGCTGGGTGTTCTGGACTGAGCTCACTCCCATGTTGGTGGCTTGGCCTCCCTTTACATGGTCCTCATCTGAAGGAGGCTAGTTCAGGCTTCTATTTGCCATGATCTCAGCTTCCAAGGGGGGGTGACGGCAGAAGCTGCAAGGTCTTTTGTGGCCCAGGCTTGCAAGTTCCACAGTGTCCCCTCTGCTATGTTATATTGACCGGAACAAGTCGCACGTCTGCTGTAGGTGGTTACTGAGAGACACACGACGGCCAGCCGACTCTGGAGCTCTGCAGGGTCAACTAGTGGTTCCTCTCCACCAAGCTTGTCCTTGAAATGTACTCTGCCCACCATTCCCACATTGGGAGCTGTTTTCAAGGATGCAGCCTTGATAGAGTAAGGTGTTGTTGAGACCATCTGGAAGGAATATATGACCGAATCCAGTTATTCTGGCTGGCTGGTGCAGAGATCTACTTGTCTTACAGGCCACTCAAGATAAGCCTCGTAAGTGCCCTTGCTTATGAAAGTTGTCACCTACCAATCGAGGGAACTGACTCTTTCTTTTGGCTCTCTTTGCCCTCTGTGTACGGGGGCCGGTTTATGAACCAACTACATCCAGCAGAGATTCAAAGCATGCAGATAAATTCCATCTCCTAATGAGAGAAACAGGCAAGCCACAGTGCAAAGGGCTTTTGAGGTGTGGGCAAGGAGAGGGATGCTTGTGGCTGGTTTTGAAAATAGTCCAGCACATATCTGAGGCTGGGACGGTATGAGGAAGTAAAGAATGATGACACACATCCTGGGGATTAACCAGTGCACCAGGTTTGCAAAGATGAGCCAGGAGGATCTCCTTTTAGGGGAGGAAAAGGGTTATCTGGACACCCCATAAATACCTATCACTATGTAGGGACCAGAGCCAGAGGCTCCATCACTATAGGAAGGTTCAAATGGCTTTAGTGCATTTGCAGACTTTTCTATATTATTCATCTACAGCTGTTTTGGTGATTTTGAAATAAAGTTAATGATACCAGAAGAAGGATTTTCCAGTGCCTGCTCTACTAAACGTATGACCATAATACATTTTGCTGGCCATCTGATTGAATGAGAAATGTAAATGAGCTTCAATATGGTTGGCCACTTTTGTTTGAGAAATTAAATCAAATAAGTGAAATCTACAAATATTCCAAATGGAAATGGCTTAACCATAGGAAACATACACCACTTCGTGAGAATTTGATCATTTCAATAATAAAAAGGGGGTGAGTAACAAGATGAAAACTATTATTTTCTGCACACCCACGATGTGTCAGGCATGTAGCCCACATGCACTCACTTGTGGCTCCTAAAAACCCTAAGTAATATCACCCTTTTAACAGATGAAAAATCTGAGGTTCAGCAAGGCAAACGACCTACTGAAAGTCATCACCTAGATGGTTTGAAAGCTGGGATTCGACCTGGGTTACCCCATTGTCCTAGCTTCTGTCCAGCATTTATTGAGATTGATACATATTTTATACATGTATTCAAATTATGCACATTTTAACCTACTTCAAAAAAATCTATAATTATACCATAAGCATTTATTTTTCAGTTGCAACACAGCTGTATAATTATCCTTTTTAATAGTGGTATAATATTTTAATATAGTTTTGATATTCTGGACGAGAACTTAATTCGCCTTTCTCCCGATGTGGATATTTAGGTTGCTTACCTTAGGGCTCAGAATCATGAACTAGATTAAATACGGCTTACAAAATCATCTAGGGGTAGTTGTAATTCTTTTCCTGGACAAAGGCTCATGTTTATAAGTCAATCTTTTTGCTTTTCTGGTCATTTTTCTTGAAATAGTATCTATTAAGGTCGTTATAGAGGATTATGCATGAAATAAGGCACCTATTTATGTACCTAATATTTCTACTCATTGCACCAAAACACCTTGCTTATTTCACGAATGGTTCCCTGCTCTGAATAAATCTGTTTACATTGTAAAACAGCTCTTTCAGCCTCAGCAGGAGGGTGAGGTTGCGGTCTTCCAGAACGGAACCCGGAGAGATCAGAATGCACATCCCAGCTCCAGCCAGTAGATGTCTCTATTTCATTCACCCTCTGTTGCCGGTTCCTCCTGAATGGGAAGCCTTGGGAGCAAAACTGATAGGTGGGGGATTGTGCTATCCCTTCTGCCACCTTCCACCAGCCTCCACCTACACACCCTCCCCTGCCCCGCCTTGGTTTCCTGGTTAGTGGCATAAAGGTAATTGAAACGGGAGTGTCGGTTAAACACATTCTCCACAAAATCTGTTTGCAAAGCGAACTGGTAACTGAAAGCCATCTCTACAGAGACGAAGCCTTTTCTCTTTAAATAGCACCATACGCTGAACTAAAAAGCTGTATTACTGAGTCATAACAATTAATTACACTCGGAGGTGAGAAGACAGGATTTAACGCTCTAATGCGATTTGAATTTAGGCCGGTATCTCATCCCGCTGCTATTTAAAACAAAATCACTTTTCCACGGAAGCATCTGCAACTGAGGAGGGTTTCAGAGCTTGAGTCTGAAGACATCTCTGGCAACTGAATATTCCCGTTTTAGCTTCCTGAGAGGTTTAATATGCACATTTGGATTTTCTAGATTTTTGTAATGAAGTGCATGTTCTTTCTGCTTTGGGATTTGACAAAAGAGAACTTGGAGGCTGGGCAGGTCTATTATTCTCATCAGGAGTTTTCCAGGTGTGGGAGGTGTGCAGGATGAGTTATTGGGAAACTAAAAATAGCATCTCAAAACAGACCACATGACCAGGCAGCAGAGATGCAAATCCGTGGAGGGCTGACCCCCTCAGCATAAGGGGTTTATTGGTAGGTCTGGGGCAGGTGGGAAGCAGCCGAGAGAGTAAGGCCTGGTGGTTTTCAGGTGTCAGCCGGAGGGTCCCATGCTCATCTGGGGAGGCAGAGACCAGCCCCCGAGGAGCATCTCCGTGGCTCTGCAAGAGGCACTGAGGGCACCAAGAGTCTTAGATGTGCCAGGGTAGGGGGTAGCAACTCACAACTGCACGGTCTGGAAGGAGCTGCCTGGAGCCTTCACGAAGAACACTATGGAGGGCTGGAGCCCTGGATCTGAAATCCTTACTGTGGGTCCGCCTCTGTGAATCTTGTGTTCCCCAAGCCTAGGGAGGTATGCTAGGAGGATCGGAGGAGCAGAGGGCTGGATTCCAGACTGCTCTCGTATCTGGACATCACACTACCTATGCATGAGATAGCACAGATCCTTCTGGACATGAGGCGTCGTTTTCATAGCGCAGGGGTAGCTCGGGACTCGGGCTGTGCACGTGTGCCAATGCCCCGTGGTATGTTGTCAGACCACTTCACCAGCCGGCCTTGCTGCTCCCCAGACCCCGCCTCTCAGGAGCCCTGCCCCCCCCCTTCTTCCTCTCTCTGCTCCTTCTGTCCCTAGCATTTCCCATCATGCTCTCAGCCCATACTCTTCATTAGACCCCCAGACCCAGCTTGGCTACCCCATCCTGCCAAGGCTGCCCCGTGCCCCCATCCCCAGCTGGTTGCTCTTTCACCCAGGCATTCCATGGTCAGAGCACGTCAAGAGACGCCAAGTCCAGAACGCCCCCCTGGAAGTCACCTGTGCGTACACACTCCAAGCCACTCACTGGCTGTGTCACCTGGACAGTGACCTAAACTCTGCAAGCCTCATTGATTTCATCCATACGGTGGGAATATGAATATTTATCTTGTCAAGACTGCTTAGTTGTCAAGAGGATGGGAAGGGCCAGGCCTGTTCAGGAAAGTTCTTTCAAGGTGCAAACACTAGCGTGTGAGCTTCCAAGCCTGGGAGCCCACAGGGGCCAGGCTTTGGGTTCTCTGAGCCTCCTGCAGTGTGGCCCAACTCAGGAGGATGAAGAATGGGGGCCTCACCTGGGTACAGCACCCCAGTCCTCTGCCAGCTGCCATCCCTTACCGTGCCCACTTTTGGGTCTTATTCCAGACATTCCCAGGCCCCCAGTCTAAAAAAAAAATCTCTCTTCTCCCCTTCTTCCTTCATCAGCCCTGCTTTATTCCCCTCCCCCCCCCCCCCACACACACATAGGTCACCGCCTGACCCAGGACCCGTTCACGAATGTGCTTGGTCACTGGCCGGCGTCCCAACTAGAATGGAAGCTCAGGAACGGAGGCACCTCTTCCTGTCTTCTGTGCTGTGCCTCTCTAGCCCCCAGAACCCAGCATAAGCCTGGAACATAATAGCTGCTCAGTGAACTCGACTGGGAAGAATGAACGGAAAGTGTGTCGTGCCGCACAGCACCAGGCGCGTCCCGGGCGCTTCTGAGATCCCTGCTGAACCCAAGCCCCGCTCTCCAGGCCCTGCCCTCTCCCCTGGCTGGCTGTCCCCTGGCCCAGACCCCGTCCCGCCCCTCCCCCCCCCCCGGGGTCCCGCACGGAGAGGGGCAGGGCGGCGGCTCTGGCCTCCCAGCTCCGGCGGCGGGAACTGGCGGCCCGGGGCGCGGGCTCTCGGGCGGGCGCCCGCCCGGGGCATGCTCAGAGCGCGCAGGTCCGGGCGGCGGCGGCGGCGGCGGCGGCGGCGGCGGCGGGGGGGGGGGGGGGGCGGGGAGGAGGCGGGAGCGGTCGCCGCCGCCGCCGCCGCCGCCGCCGCCGCCGTGCGCTCGCGGACCCGGGCGGAGCTGCGCAGTCCTCTCGCAGCTGCGCCAGGACAGCCGGCGCGCCGCCGTGCCCACAAGTTGCCGGCAGCCGAGCGCGGCGCCGCCTCCTCTGCGCGCGGCCCCCTGCGCCCACCCGGCGGCGGTGGCCGGCTCCGGGACGCACGCCCCGGGGACGCCGACCCCAGATGTGAAGCGGGCCCGCAGCCCCTCGCGCCCCCCGCCCCCCTCTCCCCGGCGCGATCCGGAGTCTCGCCAGCGTCTTCCCTGCCAGAAACCCCGGGCTGGAAGATGTGGCAGCCGGCCACCGAGCGCCTGCAGGTAAGGGGCGCCCGCAAGGCCGGGGGCCAGCCCGGAGGAGGAGGTGCCCCTGGGCCCGAGGAGCCCGAGGGGGCGCCGGCGTCCCCTTGGCGGGGGCTTTGCCCGGAGCGATCGTGGGAGACGCGTGGATGGGAACAGGATGCTGTCCGCTTAGCCCAGCGCCCGGCGCCCGGCGGGGGCGAGAGGGTGATACATTGGCCGGCGCGTCGCATCGGGCGTTACAACTTTTGGCTCGGGGTGTTTGTGTGCGTGTCGATATATGTAAGCTTGCACTTTCTGACCGGCAATGTTAGATTGCATTGCACTGACACAATTTACCGGTCTGGGGTTAGGGTGTTTGCATCCAGATTATTTATTTTCTTCTTTTTTGTCTCCGGGAAAGACAGAACAGATGATTCGTGAAAGCATCCATTTGCCAGTATAATTTGGAAATATCAAACTTGCTTCGACCTGGCCATGGTATGCTATATATTTTATTTTATATTTCATTTTACTTTATATTTTATTTTCCTGTTTGTTGGTGCTCTCCCTTCATCTCCCCTGAACTTCAGCCCGCCACCCCCCCACCCCCAGATATTTGAAAATCGAGAGTTAAGTTCAGCTAGGAATAGTCATGCCGCTGGTCATCCCATCAAAAGTTTTGACGTGCTGTCTACTGAGACGATAGACTGCCTTTAATTTGGATTTTGAAGCCAGGGTGACAGGAAGGAGGTCAAAATGAGTAGGGATGTTTATAGAAAGGCGCTCTCCCAGTGACACTTGGGACCCTGGAATTGCCCAGACTGCAAGGTTTGATGACTGCCTTTTGCTCACAGATATTCCCAAGAGAGAGAGAGCTGTTACTCTGCCAGATAAAATCCACTGAAACCTGCAGTTAAACTTTTGGCAGGCTGAGAGCCACATTGTTTCTTAGTAAACTTTGAAGGAGTGTTTAAGTGGTAAAATACTGGGCCCTGGAAAGCTCAGTGGGTCAGAAGCATCGTTGACGCCAGGAACCCTCGCTGGCTTGGGAGGTTTCTCAATGCAAATGTAAAGCTCCCAATGCAAAATGCAGACTGTCCCTTAGGTGCCTGGAGAGGCTAACCTTTGCCCAATGAGTTCCCATGCTGAGGATTAACCTGCAGAGGGCATTGCCTTTAGCAGAAGCAGATGCCCCAGAGCCTGTTGCTAAGCCTCCCCGGGTCTTTGGATTCATGGGTGTGGGTTCACATGAACAGAACCTGAGACACCAGGCCAGTCCCCCAGGGTGTCAAACAGACGAAACAAGAAAAGAGACGTTTAGTCTTGGAGACAAGGTGGTAGGTGACCAGTGTCTAACTTCCTCGTCTGATCAAGGCACTATCAACATGGAGCTCTGAGTGATTGACCAAAGGTAATGTAAATGTATTTCGGCACTGACACCAGTAACCAGTGGTGCCGTTTGAAGTCCCTGTCAGTTCAGGGCACAGCTTCTATTCTAAGGGAAGGGGTGACGGAGGAGGATGGAGGGCGCCCCGTCCCGGGGACCAGGGTAGCTCTTAGAAGTCCTTAGAGAGATGAAGCCAGACTTCCCTTGAGGCGGCTTTTCTGCCCTGCTGTTCCGTGCCTCTGCAAAGTTTGTGGATTTTGTCTCTTGAAGTTCTCACTGCCGGCCTGTTTCATTTAAGGACTCCTGTGTGCTCCGGAGCACGTGACCCTTGGCAGGCGAGAGCTCTGGCTTGCATCCTGCATGGTGATCGTTCCTTTACTAGAACCGTTCTCCTGGCTCTTCTGTGAAATTTACACCTGTGTGTTTGGCACGAGTCTGGGTGGTTACAGTTGTGACTTGCAATACATTTATTTCATTTTAAAGTGTCCTGTTGAAAGAGCACGAGGATTGGGCTTTTGAAAGCTCAGGTAAACGTGGCTCATCACTGACTAAGATCAAATCACTGTTGGAAGGTAGTTACCTATGTGAGCGCGAGCTGCGAGGCTCAACTTCATGCTCCCCAAGTTGAAATTAGTAAACAAGCCTGGTTCGCTTGTAAAGGTACAGTTCAAGCCTCGTGATTACAGAAGTGAGCCAAATGGAGAAAAATCTTCATATTTGTGGCTTCTTTCCAAATAGCAGCTCGGCTCTTTTTAAAAACACACAATTTGTATGTTTTTACTTTTTTGCTTCTGGGGGAGGGAGTTGTTGAGGGTTGAGGTGGTGAGTGAGCTGAGTGTAATAATATTTTATTTACATTCCTTGTGGTTATGTTTGTCACGGTCTCTGCTGTCTGGGATTTTTTCTTCCCCTCAAGGCACCACCATATAGGAACATTGGTTTCTGATTCCTCAGTGAATGGGACGCTTTATCTTGCCCTGATTCTCTGGCTGTGGAGATGGTGATGTATATTGTGCTGGATGGGGAGATAAATGATGAGTCCCACTCCTGAATGAAGTCCAAGCCCCGCCCTTCTTACACAAATCCTCACCTCGTACAACCTCATTAATTTTTTTCCTCATTAATTTTTAATGCAAGAATGCAATTTAGATGAGCTGGGGTGAAGACAATCCTTAAAGGAAGCATCCCCAGAGCTCTCAAATAGGACTGAAGACGAGGGAGCCAATTTATTGTACAAATACCTAGACACAAAAGATTCCAGGGAAGGAGAGAAGGACATTTTTTTCTTAATTTTATGAGTTCCTACTAGGTGATGCCCATTCAAAGAGTCTGTGGCCCTGGCAGTGTGGCAGAACCTTGCTTCGGCCAGACTGCGACTTTCTAGCTAATTTGGGTCTGGCAGCCAGCCCTTTTTGCTCAGGATCTGACATCTCTGATCAGGTTTGCTTATCACTGTCAATGCTCACTTCCTTGCCAAACAAAATGATGCCGATATTTTCTGATTTGCAGTGTAGCCGGGTGACCCAAATCCAGTACCGGGCAAAGGGACCTGTTGCCCCAAGCAGGGCTGAGCTGGATAATTCCTCATTCAGTCACACAAACCGCGGCAAGTTCATCTGCTCCCCTGAATGTTAAAACTTCGGTTGCATCCCACTCGAGCCCTGGCTGGGAGTTTCTGCCATTAAAAATATAATAGGATCAAAAGGAATGTGAAGATTTAAATTACCACCCCAAGTTTTAAAGATGAATAAATATGAATTCTTCCCCCTTTCACCTTCCCTACTGCACAGCAGGCTCTTTTTCTTGGAGGGACTGGGAGAGTTATACATTTTTAAAGAAGCAGATCTGAAACAGGCTCTTCTGAGAAAAGTAAAGAGGATTTTTAGGGCTAGGTATTGGTTTTTTAAAATAGAGATGAGATTACTTCCGGCCTTGATATTTTACAATTTGCATGGGTTTGTTAATTGCCTTAATTATTGGGCGGGGCGAATCCCTTGGAAATGACCGACTCATGCTTGCAAGAGTGCAGACAGACGCGCTTAGCCATAGGCACGTGTATTTCCCCGGAGCCTGTGTTTTTGGTGAGCTACCGGATACATTTCGCTGCAGGCCAGGAAAGGAGGCGAGCAGGAGAAAGATGAATGGAGACGGAGCTTGAAACAAAGAAAGCCAACAGATCCTTGCCTGTGGTGGAGTTATTACAAGGACAGAGTGGAATGTGATAGTAGGAATGTATGAGACGCAAGTTCCAGCACATTCTAAATGTGGAGCCTGTGCAACTGTCTTCTCATGAGGCGGTCTGTTAAGGTTCCAATGTAATCATTTGCCTGTCTTTCCTGAGATTGAAATTTCTCCACGGCAGATCCAGAAAATACAGACCTCCTATCCGTAAAGCTGGCTTTTGTCTTCTCAGCCTGGATCATTTTCTTGCTCTACTTTTCTTTTTACTCTCATTTTGTCCAATGGCCGAGCATTGGCTCCATCAAAGCAGGATGGAGTGAGGAAGGGTCAGGAGAAAACCAGACCCCACTTTCTTTCGTTGCTGGTTAAAGCTTTGGGCTGGCAAAGAGGTTCATGCAAATAAAACTTAAGTTTTACTAGAGATAAAACTTTGCAGATTTTAGGAGGTTAAATTATGTTGCCATTTCTCTGCCTTGCCTTCTCTGATAGATTTCACTCTCACTTGGACTATAGATTGTTCTAGACTTATTTCTCCACTTCTCTCTTTTCATCACTTGTCAGTGATGGAAGAACCGTCTAGAATGTCAGCTGGAGAGCATTAGGCCAGGCCTTCCAGGCAGAGAGCAAACTTTCGCAAATAGGACACATTTCCGGGCAGACGTTACATTGACAAAAGAAACACAGAGCAGGGAAGGGGCTGACAGTGGCCCGTTTTTATGGAGCACGTGCTGTGTGTGTGGTACTGTGCTACGAGTTTTATTTGAATTATCTAGGTCATTTACCGTCCATAGCCACTGTTATCCTCATTTTATAGTTAACAGACTGAAAGCCAAAGAGGTTAAACGATTTGGTCAGGGAAGGGCGGGCTAGAAAGGAGCCGAGCTGGAATTTGAACCAGGTGGTTTGGCTTCAGAGCTTGCTTCTTCACCACTTGCCTGTAAAGCAAGAGGGGAAGACGAAGCAGGATGCTTGATTTTATTTTTTTAAATGTTTTTTTTTTTATTTTTGAGAGAGACAGAGAGATGGAGCGCGAGCGGGGGTGAGGGCCAGAGAGCCAGAGGGAGACACAGAATCCCGAGGCAGGCTCCAGGCTCCGAGCTGTCAGCACAGGGCCCGGAGGGGAGCTCGAACTCGTGAACCGTGAGATCCTGACCTGAGCTGAAGTCCGATGCTCAACCGCTTAACCGACTGAGACACCCAGGTGCCCTGAGCAGTTTGCTTTAGATGTGCTGGTCATATTGTCTATTAATACATAGAATTACAGCAGTGGTGGTCTGGGTGGCTCAGCGAGGCTGCTTTCATATCTCTTGAGGTTGCCTGTGCTGACCAGGGCTCCCCACCTTTGGAAGGGAGGAAGGAGGTCGGGGAGTTCAGGAGCAATTGCTTGGAAATAAGGGGTAGCCACTCTTAGCAAGGCATGGGTCTCTCACCAAATCAATTCTAGATTTGGCGGTTCTTTTCATCCCTCTTA